GTACTCAAAAATGAGATATTTTCTAAAGATCTTTTTTCTTAAGCAATTAAGTTAACGTATTTGTTTTCTCCAATTTTCCCATACAATAATAATACATATATATATAATTGAAACCCACAATTTTCTATAATGAATTCCAAACATAGAATTTGGTTTGAGGAATATTTTTTTAATGATTATTTTAGAGTCACTTTTAGAAATAGTCAGAGTTTCAATATTTCCTTAAAGACGCAGGCATAGATTTTACTTTTTGAATCGAAGGCCCAACAATGGGTCTCTGTTGTCAGAAAAAAAGGTTTCTTTCTGTACAGAACCTCTGTCAGAAACTTTAGTTAAGACTTATAATTCAGAGGTGGAACTCTGAAGGAGTTACAATATATAGATGACTTGCGCCTTGTAAAACGTCCGCCGCTACTTGAAGCACATTTTTTTCAATAGGGGTTATTTTTTTTCTTCTTTCGCCAACTTGCCTTCTCACCAATATACGCGAGCGTATATTTAGTGTATACATGTATATATATATATCCAACCACTCGATTGTGAGCTATGTCAAAATTCTTCGCTAATAAGACGCTTAGCGGATACTTCAGACTATCGATTTTCTTCACCACCCCATTATTAAAAGAGGAAGTGAAAGAAACGAAACCTGCCTGTTTATCGAATAAATTCAATGCGCCGCCGATTGGCCATTAGAATAAAAAGTAATTTCCAATCTTGGGATTGAAACTGGGGAGGCTTTTATATTCAGCGCATCAATGGTGGAAGATATATATATATATATATATAATAATAAAATGAAACTTATCGAGAGGTATTGTAATGAATGGAAAAATATAATAGCTTATTCGAGTTCTTTTCGGTACTCAATTTTTTATACGAAAAGAAGTAAAATTTATACGCATGATTAGAATATTATTAAAACAAATATAATATAAAAGAATCCAGGAGTCGGAGTGTATGACTTTTTAAATTCAAGTAATATTTTTTTGGAAAAATTGAGATTTATTTGAGTTATTTAGAGCAGGGAATAAATATAAGCTCCTGCGCGATTGGTCTTGTCACATTAATCCAATATACTGGATTCGCGGTAATTTTGTCCAATAACCCCAAAAAAATCTTGTGTTTCATGTTTCTTCCCCTTTTTCGTTCATCTCATCCCTTTTTGATATCTACTCATATTGATCCTGCGACAAAAACGAGCGCCTGAAATACGCCAATGAAACCAGGAGGATAATTTTCGCACCCTTGTGACGAAGAGAGAGAGAGAGAGAGAGAGATGAGGCGCCGACAAATCATCCCTCTCCAATTCGAAAAGCACCTTCGACTACTATATCATCCCTAAAATTATGTGCATTTGTCCGCGAATTCGGCGCCAATCGGACGTATTGTGGGTCTTCTATACTCTTCTCATTTATACGTCATACAATTCATATATATATATCAGACTAAAGAGATATCAGGATTAAACCGCAGTTTATTGCATTCTCCTTATAAAGATATGGCTTAAATGCCATCTATGATCTTTATGTTCGGCAAAGGGTCTAACACACCGGAAGTCCCTTTACCCTTAATAAGAATTGGGACACGGAAGTCTGCCAGAGACATTTCGATTAACCTCACCGCAGGCGGTTCGAATCTCAATATGGTAGTAAAATACACACATATATATATTGCAGTGTTAGACAAATCTTCTATTTTCAAATGATCATTATTCACGGTACAAAATTTTAACATTGGCACTGTACTCAGTTGGCACGAAATTTCAATAATCTACTATATATACATTCACTGATTTCTTATTATAAAAATGAAATTTTATTTTGCATAATAGAGTTTATTGTCTTAAGAAACTTGATCCCATATTTCGAAGAGTTGTATAACCTATACACTAAAAAACGAAACTCTAAATTTGAAAATATATACTATAAGAATAAAATACAGCCGAAAAAACATTTTGAAATTAAGAATATATATATATACTTGACACCTATTTTAGAATATTGTATATACTTAAATTCAGTATGTAATATTCTTAAAATTAGAATATTACATAATGAATTTAAGTATAAAATATTCTAAAGTAGGTGCTAAGTATATATTCTATTTTTTTCGGTGTATTATTTAAAATAAGAATAATATTCTTAAAAGAAGTACTGTATTGTATACCTATATAAATAAATTCGCCAATCTGTCACAGAAAACATTTTTGACCCCACAGTACATTTTTTCGCTGTCCCTATATATATTAGCTAACGTCATTTGATGTGACAGCAAATAATTCGCCATCTTGAAATTTTTTATTTTTCAATAAATTGTTTTTTTAATTTGCCAAAATTTAAGTACGTTGTAAAATATATATTAAATATCAGTAGAAGAAACTTTTATGATATTTAACAAAAACATTTATATATATATATCCCCACACAGCATCGAAAAATTTACTGAACATTTATAAATCTTTTAAGTGCAGACTTCGCGCAATGTTGAGTTGCGAGGTTTAGTAAAAGTCGTTAAAGGTTGTATAAATATTAAAATGTCCATCCTGATTAAACGTTGACTGAACATTTATATTAAAACTTAATTAAATGAACATTTAAGAATTTTCGCACCATTCAATCAGGGCGAACATTTTAATATTTATGTACAACCTTTACTAAACCGCGCACAACTCAACATATCGAATTTTGCACTTAAAGATGTATAAATGTGCAGTGTTTCGGTGCTGTGATTGATCTGTTTAAGTGCTGTGCAAAATATATATATATATATATATATATATATATATATATATATTAAAGATCAGTAGAAGAAAATTTATTAACATCTTAATGATATTTAACAAAAACATTTATACATCCGTTTTAAATGAAATCGTTCATATAATTGAGAAAGTTTTTCCTAAAAAAGAACATAATCTGCAAACAAGTAAAAGGCAATTCGTGATAAAAACCATAAAGAATAAACAAAACAATGAGTCCTTGAAACTCTAATCCACACAAGATTTTATAAAAAGTGCAAGTAAAATTCAAAATGGGGTCGAAAGAAAAAGTTGTTAGAAGTCGAGCAGTGAATATAAGAAAAATTAAAAAAAAAAAAACGATGAAGCAGGTGTGGCAGGAGCTAATAATGTATAATGACGAAGGAATTCGAAGAAAAGGTGTACACGGTATTAAGATTGAAGGAAGTAGTTAATAGATGAAGAAAGATTGAAGGTAAAAAAGAGAGAGAGAATTCTAAGAATCTGAGTGAGAGAGAGAGAGAGAGAGAGAGAAGGAGGAGGTTAAAGGATATATATAGGATGGTGGAAAAGGAGATGGAGGTGTATATGTGTGAGGAACAGCGATGAAAGAGTGTGTTTTGTAAAAAAATATCTCGTTAACGATTACCAGTCTGTTTCCCTCTCCCAGTGCGTTCGTTATATTGTGTCGCCTTTCGCGGGGAACTTAGAAACAAAAGACGGTTGCGACGGCGTATTCTGATTGGCCAGCAGACCGCGGCCTGTCGCGCTGATTGGCTCGCGGGACCGCACCCACCCTGCAATGGCCGCTTTGTTGGGATATGTACGCGCCACTACATTCGGTTCTAACGGCGCACCCCTGTTACGCGTTTCTCTACCCTACTCCCTTTTCCTTTAACCCGTTTTACCTCCACCCCTTTATATACATATATATATATATATATATATATATATATATATATATACTCACCCCATTATTGTATTCCGATTGTATCAAAATATAATCACTAAGGTTCGACACGTAAACATTCTCTTCATAAGTATTTGCGCGTTAGAAAATTTTTCTAGGGATATACAATTATTATTGTTACTCTATTATAATAATTAGGTAATAAAATGTATATAGTAATAAATATATAGCAGACATTTTTGAAAAATTTGATCTTCTCTGAACCTAGGGCAGAAATTATAACCTCTGGGTCTTATGCGGCTTTCACAGAAAATTAAAAGGCATTAAAATAAGCTGCAACGCTTATTACTTTAATCCAATTTTGCTTATTTTAATCCATTTTGGTATTAAAATAAGCAAAATTGGATTAAAATAATAAGCGTTGCAGCTTATTTTAATGCCTTTTAATTTTCTGTGTTTGCGATTTAAATAAAATTTCATTATTATTTAAGATTTATTTTTATAATTCATTATTACTTCATAATTATAAATTTCTTATAAACATTTATCTCATATAATTCTTTTTAATTCAACTATTTTTCTTTTAATTATACAAAATTTATTTTTATCTGAAAAATCGATATAAGAAATCTAATAATCAATAATTTTGGATTTAACAACCTCATCTGTTTTAATTGAGTGCACAAATCAATATACAATTAGGGTAAATGCACTAATTACGCGGCGCGATTCGACTCAAAACACTAAAAGCTTATGTTATTTGGGTATTAAAAAAAAATTTAACTTTATAAAAATCGATTATTTAAACAAATATGAGAAATTAAAACATATATTTATTTTTATTTTAAATTATTTTTTTAATTATTATTTTTATTTAATTATTTTAAAAAAGGGATATAGATCGTATAGAGTAGATTTGGAAATTGACGTCAGTCAAATTCACTCAACATTTATATGATCAACGATTGAGAAGAAAAATATTTTTCTGTGCAAATTATTATAATTTTTTGTTTAAAAAAAAAATTTGCAACGTTTCTCTATGTCAATACTTTTGAAAAGATAAATTTATAGACAAAAAATTAATTATTACTTTGCTAATGAAAAATATATTATTTTTTCAATCATTGATCCATATAAACGTTGTGAACTTCACCGACGTTTAAATAATTGCGGCTATTGAAGTTGATCATTAAGGGAAAATATTTTTTGGACGCAATTTAATTTACAATAATATGAAATTTAATGCGAATTATTTAAAATGAAAAAGACAATTATGTGATTTTGGTTTGTCTGCGTGTTATATATATATATAACCTGCTTTTAAAAGTTATATGGGACAAAATGCGCACTTACTCGTCCTCTTACCTGTATCCTATCTTCCGGTAAGTCGGTTCTGAGGCTGAGCATCTCTCGGGCATAGACATCGGGATAATGGGCCTCCTTGAAGGCAGCTTCCAACGCCTCCAACTGCTGGGACGTGAAGATCGTCCTGGAGCAACAACCATATGAACCTAGTTATATGCCATTACAAATTTTTACCTAAAGTTAACTCTATTGACTGAATCTGCTTAATATCCATTTCAAATATATACTTATAATATATTATATATTTAAAAGCAAAAATTTTCAATAACCAAAAATTAATTTTATATTATAATAATAATAATTATAAATTATATTTGAATTTCTCCAATATATATTAGCCGAAAAAAATATGTGTTTTGCCTTTTGAGATAATTATAGCTTTCTAATTTTTTGTTTTGCTAGTGCCAAATTAGTTCGTTTTTCGCCTAAAATAATAAGCTGGATCCATCTTGTATAATATGCGGTTAGAACACATAGTATATAGTATGTTATGCTTAGACTTGGTAAAAAAAACAACGGAAATAGAAAATTCAATAGCTATTTGAGAAAGTGCCTAAATTCTAAAAATAAGAATTGTTCAACTTTTCCCTGGCAAAGAATTTCACGTGATAATTGAAAAAATAAACATAATTAAATGAATTATATTTATATAATTTTTATAAAAATTAATTAAAATCACGATATTATGGGATTTTAAACTTTTATCTGTTCTCATCATTTTCAGATAAAATTTCTTAGAGAAATTATGTTTTTGAATAAAAGCATTTTGTTGTATAATTATTTTCTGGTTTTAATTTGTGATATACGAAAGAAATATATATATATATATTTGTGATTTTCATGAATGATTGCGTACATTTTAAATAATTGAAAAAAAAAAATTTAAAACATAAGACAGTATAATCATGTTGAAAAATATGGTGGAAATAGTTGAGTGAAATATAAGCAAGACATCCAATTAACGTTAATTCGACAAATTGCCGGTTGCGCCGTACGAGCAGACATCTGTCAGGCGTGAAAGTTCTTCAAAAATTGAAAGTCACTTCCCGGACGATCATCATCTCGTTAGACCCTGACACACCGCGTCGATTGTCGATCGCGTAGCGTTTCGTTTAGTCAGATATATAATTTAGCTCCAGATTTACCCTTTTTTCATTCTGCACAACACCCGAATGATACATCATAATGAGACACCTCATTACAAAATTAAGCCAATAATTGACAAAATATATGTTTCGAATAATATTCTCTTTTTTTAAGTATTATATTTATATATATATTAATGAACATACACTGATAAGTATCTTATTGTGTATGAAAATTTAGAAAGATCTCTTTGGAATTTTAATAATACACATAATTAATTTTATTTAAAATTTGAGTCTTTCTACGATTTTACACAAAGTTTTTTTTAACTAATTATTACGCGTTTTTTTAATTCTCTCTATATATATATAATATGTCGATAATGATCTCAATAATGTGAAAAATATTAGGTATTACCGAATATACTTCTCAATTGATTATTAATTCTAAATTAATAATTTTATTAATTATAGTCAAGATTGAAATTAATTTGAGAGCCTTACCTATGACGACGCTTCTTTTTCTTCTTTTTACTGAATCCCGTAAGGCCGTCTACCGTAAAATCTTTACCCGTATCAATACTGTGCACTAATCCTGCAAAAAATAATATAACAATAATGAGAATTAAATATATTTTTATCATTGTATGAAAGATTTTTAACATAAGTTATAAATTTTATTTTCAAAAACCATTAAAATTTTATTTTTTTTTTATTAATTTTAGGCTCTCTGAAGAAAGGGGACATAAAAAACGGAAATTACAGGATATGTCTATGATATAGTTTTAACTTGATTAAAAGTTATATTTTTAATTATTGAAAATAAAAATAAAGTTTTATTTAATATTTTGGATGTAATGAAGACAATCATTAATTGTTTGTATTGAGAGTAGATCTTCATTTTGTATTATTATTCCAAACAAAACCTATAATTTTTTCTTCTTCTTAGGTATACTACTTTCTTGAGAGCGCGTAACAAATATAAATAATATTATTTTTAAGACTTTTAAGAGCAAAAGATTTAATAAAAATAGTTTTCTTAGAATTTTTTTTAACAAAAATTTATTTCCAAACTCGGGGAAAGTATAATAATAATAATAAAAATAATAATAATAATAATAATAATAATAATAATAAAAATAATATATAGAAGTTTCAAGCATGTGTCGATAAAACCGAAACTCATTATATCTTGCAAACCATGAGTAATTGATAATTATACGGTGCTATGAAAAGCATAACATATCGAATATCAAATTACCTATTATTTCAATATCGCGCTACCTTTGAATGTAGACAGATTTAATTATTATTCAATAGCTTGTGAATGTATTTATTCGAGTTTTTATTATATATTATGTATATGTGTTTTAACAAAAATACACATACATATATATATATATATTCGTTATAGAGTCGAATGTTTTAAAATGTAGGTATAATGTATTGTGATATTATAAAAATTTTCATTTTAATATTAATAAAGATTCCACTATATTATACCAATATTAATTTGCTTCAAAAAATTTTATTTTTAAATATTTTTCTTTATATCAAAAATGAAAAAATATTGAAATTAAATAATCGAGGAACTTTTTTTTAATTATATTTTTTTTTTTTTGTAAAATAATAATCTTTAAAATGAATTTTATTAAGATCTACTATTAATAAATAAATAATAGAAAATAAATATTAATATTTAAATATCTATATAGGTAATTTAGAGTAGACCAATTAAGTAATCTTAACAAATAATTATGAATTATATAAACGAAATAATTGGAATTAACGAGGTAAACGCGTCACTCAAATAGCTCGCACACGATTTTCTCTAAAACAATGCGTTGTATAAGTAAACCCTTTCTGCGCATAAGCTTTCACCTTTTCCCGTTATTCGAAATAGGTTGGGTTCGCCTGGGAAAGGTCATATATCCCTGCTGCCAAGTACGGCCAGAGTTGAAAATTAATTATCCATTAATTAAGAGCTTTAATCTAATTATGTGTCCTCTGACTAATTTGACTTTAACATAAATTGTTAACGTCAATAACATTCCATATATGACTTCTATTTCAATATATATATTCTAACCCTATATATATATATTTTTTTTTTTTGTTTGTTAAAAATCCAAAAATATACTTTGTTTATTTTGCTTGGTGTATTTAGATTAATAGAATTTTTCTTTCTCTTTTTGCAGACACAGTGAGTGAAACAGGCTAGAAAGAAAATCAGTATTGGTGAGTTTCTTTTTATTTAAATTGAATATTCTCGTAGTTACAGTTTATACGAAAAAATAAATTTTTTTGACTACAATTAAGATACGCGCACACACAGTTAACTTGAAAGCATTAAATTGATCCAAATTTTTTATATCAATTTGATACTTTTGGTATATCAATTAGATATATTTTTAAATATTAACTGTGCACTTATCAGAAAATAGTTTCTACACTGTAAAAAAAAGGAATTGAATTTCAACTCCCCAGGGGATGCTATAAAAGTTCCACCCATTGAGGAGTTATAGCAAAGAGAGTTCAACTTTAACTCCTTACACGAGTTGGAGAATATGATCCTCCATTATAAAATAACTCAAAAGAGAGTTGATACACTGAACTCCCTAACCTGAACTCCCTTCCACTCTTGGTTAACTCCTTTTTCGAGTTGATTTTTAACTCGAAAAATCAAACTCCCAACTCATAGTGACGTTAAACTCCCTAAATTTTTTACTACTCTCTAAATCTGAATAAGTGAAATTTCACTTAAAATGTGTCAAAAGTCTTCCACGTAGAAAAATAAGTGTATATGCACTTAAAAATAAGTGAAACTTCACTTATTTTTGAGTGAAAACCACTTATTTAAAAGTGCATATACACTTATTTTTCTACGTGGAAGACTTTTGACACATTTTAAGTGAAATTTCACTTATTCAGATTTAGAGAGTATATATTATTTCAAACAAAATCTCTTCTCTAACTATGTCACGAAAAAATTATTCCTTATTTGATATAAAGAAATCCTGTTTGAATTAAAGAAATCTTTGCTTCAATTGAAAGAAATTTTTATAAAATTTTACACCGAAAAAAATAAAATCTCAAAATGAGAAGAATATTATGTTCAAAAATTAATTTTATATTTTATTTTCAATTTATGAATATTTATCCGAAAAAATAATGTTTTTGTTTTATTATTTGAGAATATTGTGATTAAATGATAATAACTTTTAATCATTTATTTTTTATTGAAATTCTTCTTTTGGATTTAACATATTTTTTCTAAAATTAAAACTTATATGTCTCTCTAAATAAAATAATGTTTTGATAGAGAAATGATGTTTTAACTTATGATTTGTTTTTAAGAGAAAAAAACTGTTTATAAAATGATATTTGAAAAAATATAGTAAAAGAAGGAAAATCCTTTCAATTAGACATAGAAATAGGCCCCATATTTAAGAAGAAAATTTGCTGCATAAGAAGAGAAATCGTCTTTTAATGAAAACATTTTTTTCTGTGTATAATAATTTAAAGAACAAATTTCTTTTATTTGAACAATAGTTTTCTTTGATTAAAAAAGAATTTCTTTAAATCAAATAAATATTTTCTTCTTTTCAAATTAATTTCAATCAATTAAGAAAATGCATTTTTTTTAAAAAAACAATAAAAAACAAAAACATAATTCGAAATTTCTTATTAAAGTTAATTTGGTTAAAAATTACCAATAAACTATAAATGTTGATACTCTAATCGTGCAATGAGAAAAGTAGCAAAATAACATTTAATTAGTTTATTGACAACAAGTAAAAACAACTTTACGAGTCTTTTTATTAATTACACAACGTAGTGAATCTAGTTTACGTAATTACTATTTTTAATTAATGTTATACAATTTAACTTCTTTGCAATTCTTGTTTTTTTTTCCATTAATTGACAGCTACAGTGCTTGACATCCCTATCTGATTCCACTTTATCCGCAGTGCTCTAATAAGTTAAAAAAAACTTTATTTTTAATTATAAAATTTAATAGCCGGCAACTTGCAAAGTACTTGATATAATATAAATAATATATAGAGTAATGCTCCCAATTATTTGCATTCATATATTTTTTAATGTATTTTATTTTTTTAATTAGCTTGAGATAGTTAACAAATGAAAATAATTAAAATAATAAAAATAAAAATTATAATGAAAATAAAAATTATAATGAAAATAAAAAATAATAATAACAATACACTGAGAAAAATATGCTATATTGAATCTACAGCATTTCCGCCAAAGGTATAAAATTATTTATTCAGAAGCATATGCTATATAAGGACATATATTTTTCCTGTTCCGAAATTAAAATTATTATTTATTGATTGGAACAAAACATTCAAAAATATTGAAATAAATATATTTATTCAAGTTAAACGAATTTTGTTTGAAATAACTATACAAAATTGTGTTGTTACAAAAAAAATGGTATATATTTGGTTCAAACATAACGTTTATCTGATTATATAGTTTAAGAAAAAATTAATTTTATTGTCTGACAATATAATTGAATTATAATGTTAGAAACTTTACTCAATTTATCCTGCTTTAAAAATAAATTTTACTATATATCTGCTATACACTCAGAAGAAAGATATGTTTGAACCAAATGTACCATTTTTTTTATATTTACCCAATTTTTGGTTAGTTCAAACAAAATTTGTTTAATTCAAATAAATATTTATTTGATCTAAATAACTGTTTGGTTTATTTAAATAAATTTTTTGAACAAAGAAAAAATTTGATTGAGCTAAATAAACGTTTGGTTTATGCAACCAAATGTTTGGTTAACTGTATATCAATGCATTTATTTTGTTGACTTAACCAAAATTTGGTTGCTTCAGACGAATTTTTTTCTGAGTGTAGACGAGTACTCTTATATATGGGCATTCCACGGGAAATTTTCATTAAAAAAAATTTTTTTTTTTGCTCGAAACATTTATTTTTTGAAATCTATATATGAAGAATAAGAAAATATACGTATTTTTTTTATTTGATAAAAATGAAGGAAGTTATCATTTTTTAAAATTTAACGTCATCAAAGGCAGTGTATTTTTGAAACATTTGTTTTTTTTTAATTTTCAAAAATATCTACCATAAATCTTTGCGTCCAGCTTAAAAATTGTAAATAGTAATTTAAAACCTAAAAATACCACTTTTGCAGATGGGCGAAAAAATTTTCAGAAATTGCAGTGTAAAAAAAAATTAAAAATCGAAAGTGCCTCTCTTTGAGTAAACTCACTTTTTAACTTTATAATTTCAACATTTTTGTTGCTTCCGTTATAGGTACGTTATTTTTGAACACGTATTTGAAAAAAAGTGAACAAATTTCATAAACAGCATAATTTCTTATTCATTAGTAAAGTAGATAAAAAAAATGTTTCAAAAATAAACTGCCTTTGATGACGTTAAATTTCAAAAAATCATAACTTCTTTCATTTTTATCAAAAAAATAAAAAAAAAAAAATACATATTTTCTTATTTTTCATCTATAGAATTCGAAAAAAAAATGTTTAGGAAAAAAAATTTTGAATGAAAATTTCCCGTGGAATGCCCCATATATAC